AAACGAGTGAAAACTGACCCGCTGGTGGTGCTATATGAAAAGTGCTGGGGATCATCAAAGTTATTCAGACACATACTGGCACATATGAATGCTTGTAGTAAATCTTATGCGAATCCATGTAATAGTCAGTGAGATATTTCAGTGTGGACTAAAATGGTGGACCAACATTGTCAGTCTTAGCTGCTAGCGTGACTAAAAATCTTAGACTGGGTCATGATTATTTCACTCCACTTGCAGCTTTTTTTTTCTTTTTTTTTTTCAAACAATTTAAAGTCTAAGTAACAATCTAAATACCTTGTTAAAATAGATATTATTGCTGTTCATTAGAAGCTTAATTTATTCTAATCATATTTAGATAAGATACTTTTGTACACCAGGCTTGGTTCCGCATGAACAGATTGTCTGATATCACAACTCCGATAACTTATACATAGTAAAATACTGTCAGATTGTCAACTGAGGACCAGTGCTGTGTATCAGTATTCATGGCCTCAGGGTATTGCTCTGTGAGCCCTGCTTTTACTACACACAACAGGGCTTTGTATCTAACTGCATAGTTATGGGACAGTAATAGTAGGGGAGAGTGGGAGTCTGCACAGGGATACATTCCTCCATAAATAAGTGACAACCAGAAAGTAGCTGCAAACAGCAGGAGGCCTTGCTCCTCATAAGACCTGGGTGTTCATGGGCAAGTGTTTCATGTTGTCTTTCAAACGAGAGCACCATCATTTACTCAACACCGGCAGTTGTGAAAGAGAGCGCGACATTCTTGAGCTATTGGAGCGAGACATAATTCACTCGCAGATCCCCCTGTGACTTTCTGAAAGAAGGAGGTCATTTTTTGGCCTGGAATGCTGACAGTAAAAGTGCAGTGAGGCAGGTTGTTCGGACCACAGGATGTAATTGGTGGTTTGGAGGAGCTGCTTTAATTATGAATTTGGCTTGGCAAAGACCGACCCGTTGGTTGGTTGGGATGATGTATGTGTTATTGTCAGGAACAGAGCGCTTTTGACACAGAAACACTGACATTAACTGTTATGGCTGGAAAAGAATTTCAGTGACATTTCTGTAGAAATCAGCAACATTTCAAACATCAGACCTTATACTGAAACATCTCATGTAAATGTTCAAGGAAAAGGCCATAGCCCTGATAACACATGACATTTTATCTTTACTACGTGTCAGATGTTGTTTCCAGTGAAATAGTATGAAATATTTAAGGAGAGTTGAACGTGTGCTAAATGACTTGGCATAAAAATTTGACATTTTCATGTTTCACGTCATTTTCTTGTATGTCAATCAGTATGACATATTGTAGGTATTTTCAAGGAGCCTTTATTGCTTCGTAAAGTATATAGCATAGAAAATATAGATAAATGTTCTATATTCCTGTTTCTGGACTGAATACTGCCTCTGCTTTCACCAATCATATGGGGGAGAATCTTATCAGAAGAGAAAGAAACACCACACTTACTATGCTATAGCTGTTGCACTTGCCATCTGCTCTTATAGCTATTACTGAATGCAACATGTTCAAGCCTGTTCTCTGGGGATTTTCTGGGAAACATAGGAAATTACTAACTCATGCAGGAGTGGATGAAGCGGCTTAATAAAGTTTCTGCACAAGAAAGGGGCTTTTCTTCACTATGTAACGCCTGGAATTAATTGAACATTATAGTTAACTGTGTGAAGACTACCAACATAGCATAAAGCTAACTCAATTCCACAGTATGATAGAATGACATGACCCTCTTGTTTTGGCCTGTTGACTGTCCACCTATTGTGGCTAAGTGCCTGAACATGTGAGCGCATGAAAGCAGACGGAGAGTGGGTTGAAGCTGACTTGTCTCCATATGTTAGACATTATCCGTCAGCTGCTGCATTATGTTTGTTCATGCGCTCACCCCACCGATTTCAATTACATGGCCCACAAACTGGGCCATTGATCTCCTCACATTTTCCTGTTAAGGTATGTCAATTTGTGCCGTCCTGCACATTTAGATTGGGTCACTTACATCAGCAGCTGCAAAGAAATGAACTCATGCACAGATGCAGCCCTTCCCCCTCCCCCGCTTTTGAAAAGAACGGACGCATATATATCGGCCACAGACATGCATATACTGACATGTTTGCCCAATATATGAAGCCGGCGAGCATGTTTGCTGACTGTCAGGCAAAACAGGACAGTGTTGCTTTTCGTAAAAACCCCCCCGGAGCAGGAGCAAACAGAAAGACTGTGGTGTCTCCCGTGAGGTTCCTAATTGGAAACAACATCGCCTGCAGGACTGACGCTTGTCTTATTCTGTTGTGTTGATCAGATAACTCGATCACATATTAGCTGGCTGCCGTACGCTGAGAGCAGTTTGGATGTGGCTGCAGAAGTAGGTTATGACACATTTGGATGCATGCTAGCATCTGGTGGGCCCCTCAGCAGGGACAGGGAGTTAAACAAGAGACAGCTTGCAGACAAAGTCCTGATAAAGAACAGACTGTGTGTATATTTGCGCGTGTGTGGGTGTGTGTATATATACGTATATATATATGTATATGTATATATATATATATATACATATACATATATGTGTGTGTGTTAGACAGTTGACTGACACCTGTTAGTCTCAGGGTCCAGTTTTAAGAGGAGAGAGTGTGTTTCTCATCAGTATCTTCTTTTTACAACGCANATATAGTGCGTTGTAAAAAGAAGATACTGATGAGAAACACACTCTCTCCTCTTAAAACTGGACCCTGAGACTAACAGGTGTCAGTCAACTGTCTAACACACACACATATATGTATATGTATATATATATATATATACATATACATATATGTGTGTGTGTTAGACAGTTGACTGACACCTGTTAGTCTCAGGGTCCAGTTTTAAGAGGAGAGAGTGTGTTTCTCATCAGTATCTTCTTTTTACAACGCACTATATACCCTCTGTCTCAAACACACACATTTATATTCCGTCTATGACCACTCCATGGTAGCAGAGGAGCTTTTAGCCTAAGGGTGAGGGGCTAGTCGCCTTGTGTCCTGGAATGCAGTTGACTTTCTAAATCCCCACCAGTCTATCCTGGGGCTGCGGGGCAGGGCCTATCTCAAGCCCCCTTTTTCCACGTGAGCTACGTCTGGAATCTCTAAGCAAGCAGTTAGCTGGTTCTCCCAGCCTCGCTCTTTCGCCGTCACTGTGTGTGTGTTAGTGTGTGTATGTGTGTGTGTGTGTGTGTGTGTGTGTGTTGATCTCAGAGTGCAATGGAAGAAGAAATTGCAGATGAAGACAAAGATTGTTCACTTGGGGAAGGTAATGAGCTTTCTGACATGCCACCCGCAAATGAATTCAGATCCTTTGGAGGTTTGAGTCTGTTCTGTCTGCTGAGTGTAATTTGGCTGGCAGTGGGGAAACTGTGTTTGGAAGTTAAAAATAGGATTGGAAGTACATGAGACGTGCTGCGGCTCTGAACTTGAGCAGGGTGGGGGTTTGGGCTGATGGTGCTGGTGACGGGGCTTGATCATGACGCAGCGGTGCTTTGTATTTTTCAGAAATTAGGCCTGTTTACTGATCAATGCAGTTTTGTGTTTTCCTTTAAAAGATCCGGAGGTGACAATGAAATAGAGAAAAACTGTGGATTGAAAGAGAGAATTTAGTGTTAGGAAATTTCATGGCGAAGGAAAACCAAGAGAAGTCCAGTCACTGGACTTACCAAGCATATGTTTTTCCAGTCCTGAGTCATTGCACTAGTTAAACCTACGAAGTTACCTCTGTCTTAGTCCCAACATGTCTTTGTGAGGAAAACAAGTAATTCCTTTTTTCATCTGTGGCTCACAGCATGCAGTCAAGCTTTCAAAGAAGAAAAGAAAAGCCATATTAAACCACCCACAAAATAGTGGCACATCACTAGACATTTGCTCCTTCAACTGTTGAGGAGCTGAACTCCATAAGAGGTCCTTTAGTTTCCACCATTACCCTCTGAAAGGTACACATTATAGCTCTACCTGGCTGTCTCGAAAACAAGGCAGCAGATCAGTTCGCTTTATTGCTTCTTTCCCCTCTGTTTTCACACTTGAGCAGCTCGCCTCTTTTGCTGCCATCCACGCCCTCTCCTGTATTTCATTTCTCTTCTCTTTTCTTCTCTTCTCTTCTCTTCTCTTCTCTTCTCTTCTCTTCTCTTCTCTTATCAGACAGAATCTCTTAGGATACCTCTTAGATTGATGGATTATAATTGTATTCCCCAGGCCCTAATTGATTCAAGACAAGATAACAAAGTGCAGAGATGCTCAAATGCCTAAGGAGGTCGTGTTTACTTTATCTCTATTCTGCTCTGAAATCTAATATCTATCTTTAACACTGTTGTTGTAAAGCTGTGAACCCACTTGCAACAATTGGAAAACTAAACATCCATGGTGGGAGCAGATCTGTCACATAACCATCAAAAATAGAAAAAAGAACTTTAACTTCATTTTTAAAATCTTACAAAAAATCTATTGCATCTGGTGGTTTCTGCTCAATCTCAAAATGTTGCATGGCTCTGGATGTATAAGCAGATGCTCTGGATATCGTTTCCAAGTCTGTCTCTCATTTGCGTCTCTCGACATTAATGGATATCTATGGCTTCTTTAAAAGGAAAGACGCCTGAACAGCTGTTTCAATTCGGTGTTTTCATCACCAGTATTGTGTCTGTCACATTAAATTGTGGATTTCCAGCTGAAATATAAAACAGCATGATACATAATGAACTGGGTGGACTGCATATCAGACGATGTTTATTTCAGTGTTGCTACAGGAGAAAATATTAACATCTTTTTGAATGTGGAGTCAGTTTTTGTCTTTTCTCTTTCAGTTCAAGTTGTAGGTCTCAGATGGTTGAATTTGTTCTGACATGTCCTTTTCATGACCTATGGAAGCATAACATATGTACACGCACTTGTTGTTGATGTAAAAACATCAGCACAGCATGTTTTTGACCCCTTGTCTCTGTGTCCACCCTCTGTCCCATCAGAACAAAACAAAAGCAACCTGAAGGTAACCTCCCCAGAGGATGCGGAGCACGTAAGCCGCAGACAGGCCTCCCCAAATGGGACGCCACCTTCGAGAGGAGACGCTAAAGGCAGTCGGACTGTCCCGCGAAGGCACACGTTAGGGGGAGCCCGCAGCTCCCGCGAGATCCTGGCTATGCAGCCGTCAGACATGGACAAGAAGAGGGAGGCCTTCCTGGAGCATCTGAAGCAGAAATACCCCCATCATGCTTCAGCGATCATGGGCCACCAGGAACGGCTGCGGGAGCAGGTCAGTGGGTTGAAAGAGGCCATTATATGGAATGTTGTTGTTGAGATGATCTATTAGAATTATATAGTTATTGTGTTGTTTATTTCAGTTATTACAAAACAGTAGGGCCTGACTGATATTGGATTTTTGGAGCTATTAGGCAGTAAAAAATATTCCGATATCGATATATTGGCCTATATATATTATTTATATATAAATATATATATATTTTTTTTTTTCTATTTATTTATATATATATAAACACTTGCTAAAAAGATATGTAATGAAAGCAGGATATTTTACCCTTTAACAATAAACTTCATTGTCCAAAATGAAATCATTGCACTGAAATGGTAAATTTAACTGGGAATTAAATACAATAACTATAAAAATAAATAACTATAAATAAATAACTTAAGAACAAATACGTATATATTCATTCATTTATATTACATATTCATTTCCACTGCATTATTGCTTCTTAATAAAAGTATTATATTGTAGAATATATGTGCCGATGCCAATATCAACCAATACATCATTCGGGCTCTACATAACAGTCAATTGATATTAAATCTGCACTAATCAATATATTACCAATGGATCTAATGACTAAGTATAATGTGAAAGCGGTTGCTCGTAGTGACAAACCCACATAGACTTGTCACTCAGCTCTGCATCTGCTCAGTGGAGTGTTTTAGCATCTTTCAGCACATTGTTTTGGTTCTCCAACCCAAAACCACTCACTCATCAACATCCAGCAGTAGCAGTTTCCAGCAGCAGTCGGCAGCTAAAACACCAAACAGCTGACAAAGTCGGTGGAGACCAAAAACAGAACTAAAAGGACAGTGAATAATGGATTTGTTAGTTGGCCAGAAACAACTCCAAATAAATGCTAATGTTTGCCACTGGATGTGTAAATATGCATATAAAGCTTTATGTTAAAACTTTATGAGGTGATCAAATGTCAGTGTGTTGTGTTTTAGCCTGTCCTGCTGTCCCCAAGCTGCCAAAAATCTATTCATGCAGCTTTAATGTCAATGTATGGTTTATGTATTGACAATATCCCTTAGTGCTCCTGTCCACTGAGTTGCAGATATTTTTATTGTCCTCTGCAGACTGAGGCAACAGTGCAACTTGCAAAACTATTCCCTCGCTTCTTTTTCGCTGCGGGTTAAATGTGAAGTTTGTTCTATAAATTTGCCTGTCACATTTCCCTCCCACAGCTACTGTGAAACAGTGAGGTGGTGTTTTTGTGAAACAGTAAAAAACATGTGAACCACAAACAGTTTGAAGTGTCCATACACTTGAAAGCCTGTTTTGATCACCATAACTGCTTTGTGTATTCTAGACTACAGCACTATGTATAAAGTATACACCTTCCAGTGCTATTTGGGAGATTTTACAGATTGTAAAGTTTCCTCGTGCCTCAGCTTCTGATTGGGGGAGGGCAACACGGAGAAGAGAGGGTGGACATTTAACTTACCTGGTCATTGTGTGACTGTTTGCTTCAGGTCAGAGAAGACAAAAGGTAGGGGCAAGCTGGCTTTGTAGCCAAAACAATTGAGGTAATGGTGAGACTGGCACCAAGCCACGAGGGAGCTCCAGGCAATAGTATGAGGCATTGTGCAAGAGGGATTTTGTGTGCTGTTTTCAGACTTGCCCACAAAGCCTGCCCACATGCAAAGTAAACCCTCTTCGTGAGGTGCTGTTTCAGTCCACTGCACTGCACTGATCAGGAAGGCTGTGGATTTGCATAGGTAATATCAGATGATAATGTTACGTTACTGCAAGTAGAGTGTGTGCTTTTTTTTTTTTTTTCTTTACATGTGTTCCTATGTCTGTGCATTTTTTATCCATTAGCAGTTTCCTATCCATAAAGTACATGAAAACTCCGTGTTCATCTGTTGTTATTGAGCAGCGCACAGGGGAGAGATGGAAAGAGTTTGTTTTGAATTTAGGTAGTCAGACAGGTAAGGTCGGCTCCGTACTGGGGTGGAGTCATAGTTGCCATAGTGACTCATGATGTCACCGCTGGAGGGGCTCAGTTTTCGTGTAGGTGCCTGTTGAGGCGAACTGACTAGAGAGCTGCGTGAGTGTGAGTGCAGGGAGCGCGGCTGTGCAGAAGAGGCGATGGACCTGAAGACTGTCTGGAAGCATGGCTCTCTGTACGTGAGGGAGCACAGATAAACTTTTTTACAAGGAGAGGAATAAACCCACATCGGCTATTTCAACTCGACTAGCGGCAATAAAAGGTAGGATATGTCGGATAATGTATTGTTCTGTTAGACTGTCAGCGCATTCCCACACGTTCAAAACAGCGCTGGGAGTGCGACTTCTTTTATTGCATGGATTACTGCGCTCTTGAGCAAAGTGAAATAAGTCGAGGAGAGTGTGCACTGCGGCCGACGCGGTGCGCATCAGTCTGTCAGGTGCTGCAAAACTTCCACGGGGCGAATGTGAAAACTTTGCACCCCGAGTTTTATCACGAAGAAATGGTCGACGAAGTCTCAAAGCGCAGCCGATCTCTTCCCTTCAGTATTATTTAGTTCGGTGGACCCTTGTGAGGTTGTCAGTTGTAAACCAATCCATAAGCCACAATCACCTGCTGCACGCTCCCCGCATTTCTTTTAACGAGATGACAATTATGTTGGCATAATTGCAAAGCAAACGATCTGTTTTGAAAGGAGGTCGAGGTTTTATTATTCCAACATGCTGTATCTTGCATGATCTTGATGGTGGTGATGACTATGGAGACAGAGGCAGTAATAATAGATGATTGTTACGCAGTTCCAGGAAGTATTTTTTTGCAATGACATCATATCAGAGTTAATTGATTAATTAGTCGATTAAAGAGCCAAAATGACTTTTTGCAACCTATATCTGTTAAATTGAAACTCTAGTGGTCTTAGCTCATATTGATTTGTCAGTTTTTATGTTGCATTTGCACCGTCTACTTCCTGGCATGCGGTTAGATGTGTACTGAAGAGGTGGGCTTGTTTCTGGGGTCAGATTGACTAGAATGTGTCCAAGATGGCTGGATTTATTCTGTATCACATTCTGTGTGTAGTTATATGACCCATCTCCTTACTGGTTATACACATAGTGAGACCATGTTATAAGAAGCTGCAGGAGGAAGATAATTGTGTATTGCTTGTGTGTGAACTTCAGGGTCATAGAGACTTTAGTTTGTAACTTACTGTCCTTATGAGCTGGGAATTATCTGGCAGTTCTTTCTTATTGGTCGAGCTGCTGTAAAAAAGAATATGAAGTTTTACCCCAGTTTGTGTGATTATAAAAACCCCTTTGAAGTTCTTCCCTTAACTGCAGCAACACTGAAATGTGACAAGAGAGATACAGTGATCCATCGATGTCGATTGTCACTTTATAAGACGTGACACTCAAATTGATTTTGGAATGAAACTCCTCATATGTTATTCAGATGTGTGGGATGAGATTTGAGCGGTGATGGCTCGTGAATTTATCACGTCAAGGAAGAAGATACAAGATGCTGTCACAAAGCAGACTGGTTTGAGCGTGAATTTCTGGCAAATTAATGCAGCGCTGAAAAGATGATTGAAGACTGCATTTGGCATAATCTAATTCAGAATGTCAAGAGGGATGCAATCATTCCCGGCTAATATAAACAGTGGAAAATTAAAGCAAAACAAAACAAAAATAACAAGTTTACTGAAGCGTTTGTCATTTGGTGTCCTGGGGAGGTATAAATATTCTGCCTTGAGGAAAACAGCAAAGAAACGAGTGGCCTTTGCCCACAATGTGGCTGTGAATTCTGCACTAGATAGTGAGGGAGAGAGGGAAAACTTGCTACCGTTCTCACGTAGACGTAAAAGTGCCGACCATACAGGAAATACAACATCAGTGGCAACAGTGCATGCCTTAGAGGTGAGACAAAACATGTCTCTGGAGGTTTAAGTTACAAAGGCGGGGATTTATCAAGGTCAAACGGAGGTTGGGAAGATGATATGGCTTTAGTCTGAAAAGTGGATGACCCTCCCTCTCCTCCCAGCAATGGCCACACACACACACACACACACACACACACACACACACACACTCGCTGACTTATTCTTATATAAGGTGCCCCTTGATTCCCTCCCTCACTCCCTGTGATCCTTAAACCCACAACAAAAGCGAGTGGTTTAATTTCCTCCTCTCCTCATCAGGCCTGCAAAGACCTGGATCCCACCCAAGGGAGATGAGATAACATCCCATTGGCCTGACCACCACCCATCCTCTCTCTCTCTCTCTCTCTCTTTCTCACTCTCTCTCTCTCTCTCTCTCTCTTTCTCTCTCTCTCTCTCTCTCTCTCTCTCTCTCTCTGTGCCCAGGGGCTTAGACGAGCGCAAACTGAACCGCTTGACCGATCACCAACACACGTACTCACACGCCGAATTCCCTTCCCTTCCCTTCCGCCTGTGTGTCAGTGTGTCTGTGCGTGATGAGCTGTGACTCGCTCGGGCCAAGGGTTTCTCTACAGGGTTGAGCGGCCATGTTAGGACAGCTGTCTGCAGCTGTGGGCACCAGACAGAGAGACAGACAGACCTGTCACCTCCAAACTGTGATAATCCATTGGCTGATGAGAGCACAGATTATGGAATAGCGAGTGTGTCAAGATGGTTAACTGTTTTCCCAGTGCCATTTTTGGTGCTCATAGTGTAATTCCCCTGCAGTTTGGGGTTTAGTGTGTGAGTGAGGTGTGTTGTGTCAGACATCTTTCTGAACCAATCAGAATTTAACAATATAGAGATCAGAATCTGTTGACAGTCTGTTGGCTTCAGCTGCCAGGAAGATGTCAGTATCAATAAAAACTGATCAAAGCTCTCTAACATGATCCTGGTGGATTTTTGAGCTGTATTTAATGAAGAGTGTTTTTATCTATTTTAAATGCAGAGAAAAATCCAGTAAATAACTGTCTTTGTAATACACTTATATTTGCTTATTGCTGGAAACGTACCACAATCATATTATATGAGTTAAGTTATGATTTCCACCACTAG